TCATTGTTATATATTTTTTTGGTACCTATTTGTTTTAATATATATATGTAGAGGAAGTCCTTACAGCATAACTGTTTTTTTCCTTGTTTTTAATTTTATCACATTTATAATACTAAATATATGTGTATACACGTTCAAAGTCAGCGTTGGAGTGTCGTAAACATAGGAGTCTTAGAGCTAAATGTACAATATCTTTGAATACATTTTACCCAGATGCATCTCTGTATTCATTTACCTCTCCCCAAAAATTTTCAAATATTTTTAAATATGGGGTGTATCAAAGTTCCGACCGGTCAAATTCTTGCAGGGTAACTTAATTATGCATTCAGTATTTTTTATTCTGTATTTTAATTATTCAAAATTCGCTAAAAATTCTCCGATGTATCTTTAAATTCTCCAGGTTTGAGACTTGTCGCTATCTAACTTGAAAACTCTCAACCAAGAACAAAAAACTACCAGAAATGGTGAAAAATTCTCCAAGATGGCAACACTGACTTTGTTGTTGGAGTGGTTCGGTTTTGTAAAGTGCTCAGCGGCGTACTAGTCATTGTCATTAAATATTTGCTCTTTGTCATATTGATATTTGATATTTAATATTTGTTCTTTATTTATTTCTATAATTTTGACGTTTAAACGGGTAAAAAATTTTTTTCATAAATTTCTATAATGAAATGGGTATTTCCGCGAAACCTTACCCCACCTTGACAAAAAATCGTATCCGAAGTCAAATCATTTAATTGCGACGTAATTTATAACCTTAAAATATTTGTACATTGTAATGCTAAGGAGCTAACTTTAAGAATAAACAAGAGTTTCAATACTCGATAAAAATTTCAAAGTCGCACCCGTTAAATTTTAAGAAAATTTTGATTGGCTTTTTGTTTGAGTTAAATATTTAATTTTGTATACTATCTTTGAATATTAACGTATTTTAAAATATCTGAACAAACACTTTATTTTCATGAAAAAACGCAGTGTCAGTGTCGCACCCGTTACAATGGAATAACCCAAATTATTGTTTCAATATTCGATATAAGCAAAAAACCGTGCGATTCCAATTATAATGTTCTGAAATCGTTTAGAAGGGAAACAGCAGCGATTTGTATTAAAATTGTTTAATTATTTTTAAAGCGAACTGGCGCATGGAGGTCCTCTGCTCCTATTTAATTGTATCCAACAGAGGAGAGCTATAGCGACAATAAAGTGCTAAAAATGGGGAGCCGGGCCATATTAAGGAGTGGTTTCAGCGGCAAAGAATAATGGACAAATTTCCGATACTAATTATCCACCCCGGACACGATATTTCCGACGAGGATGATGACTTTGACGACAGTATTTAGATAAATAATAAATTGACAATAAAATAAATAATGTGCCTACACTACAATATAAAACAATATTCTTAAATATTATAAATAATTTGGAGGAAATAAACACTTCCATTCTATATATGAATATGTTTTTCCACCTAAATTGTTTCTTTTAATATAACGTCCCACATGGTTATGGTTTACAGTGATCGAGACAGTTCAATACGGTGCTTTGTCAGGCGAACTGGGCACAAAAATTACATCCCTTGAAAATGATACGCTACCGCCTAACTTATGTTACATTATTGATAGTGACTGCTTTATATTAAAATATATTATTTGAATTCCACGATCCAGTGGGAAATGGGGGGTCCACATGAGATGATCTTACTCCTTTACAAATATTAGAAACGGCAAATGTTTTACATTGCATCATCAATTTAAAATGTCAAAAACTGTTTTTTCAACATACATAGGCTACAACAAATATATATGGGCAGATCCATTACTTTTCGACAAAAGTGTGCGGGGGTAAGTCACCGATTTGGCTGCCGATTTTTTTCTCGAAAGTAGGTCATATAGGGAGACGATCCTGAAAATTTGAGCTCGATATAGGTAATTCCGGCTGCAAGAAAGTTTTTTGAAATATAAAAAAAGTCGATTTTTTAGTCATTTTCAAAAATTCGTATCTCAGCTCCTATTTAACTTAGAGATTTGATCAAGACGGCATTTTTCTCTGTTATCCCTCTATTTTCAAGAAAAAAATAGGTTTTAAGTTTAAACTTAAATCCGGCTAAGCTGTACGCCTCCAAATAAAACACTGCTTAAGATAAATTTTGCCAATTTTTAAAGTGCTCTCAAATCTACAGTTTTTGAAGCAGTGGAATAAATGACAGATGATATTTTTCGTTAAGGTATACTCTGTTGGAATTTACCCATTTTTTACTTGATTGCTTCGATTTCTCTAATGTATGGCCACTCAAAGACAATTGATTTTTGAAAAATCAATGTTTTCAGATACCTACAACTTTTTTCTATCGATCCGAAATCCTTTGAAAATTTCAGGGATTATACTTTATTCTATTCCCAAACAAACCATCAAAACTTTTCCTTGGGTATTGAAGTCGTTTCCGAGCTATGAATTTTTAAAAATGTCAAATTTTCAATATAATATGACATTTTTGGTAGTTTTATTATCAGTTAAATGAATTATTAGTAATACTTTAGTCAATAATCTATTAGACCTTGTTCATTTTTCTCGAAAGTAGGTCATATAATAGCTCGGAAACCACTTCAATACCCAAGGAAAAGTTTTGATGGGTTGTTTGGGGATAGAATAAAGTATAATCCCTGAAATTATCAAAGGATTTCGGATCGATAGAAAAAAGTTGTAGGTATCTGAAAAAAGCGATTTTTCAAAAATCAGTTGTTTTTGAGTGGCCATACAGAGAGAAATCGAAGCAATCAAGTAAAAAATGGGTAAATTCAAACAGAGTATACCTTAACGAAAAATATCATCTGTCATTTATCTCACTGCTTCAAAAACTGTAGATTTGAGAGCACTTTAAAAATTATCTTAAGCAGTGTTTTATTTGGAGGCTTGCAGCTTGAGTTTAAACTTAAAACCTATTTTTTTCTTGAAAATAAAGGGATAACAAAGAAAAATGCCATCTTGATCAAATCTCTAAGTTAAATAGGAGCTGAGATACGAATTTTTGAAAATGACTAAAAAATCGACTTTTTTTATATTTCAAAAAATTCTCTTGCAACCGGAATTACCTATATCGAGCTCAAATTTTCAGGATCGTCTCCTTATATGACCTACTTTCGAGAAAAAAATCGGCAGCCAAATCGGTGATTTACCCCCGCACACTTTTGTCGAAAAGTAATGGATCTGCCCATATATATAATATTTTTTGTTTGTATTTATATATAAAGACTATAAAAATAATTAAATGAAACATAAATTTCCCTGCAGCATATTTTTCAAAATGTTAATATTAATAATAATAATAAATCCTGGAAATATCTCTAACGGTTTTTCTGTTACCTATTTTTTAATTAAAAGTTTACAAAATTTTCATTGCAAAATAAATTGTTCTTAAAATGAAAATTTTAAAAAACTGTTTTAGGGTTTCACTATTGAAGGTGACTGCTTTATATTAAAATATATTAATTTGAATTCCACTATCAAGTGGGAAATGGGGGGTCCACTTGACGAGATCTTACTCAAAGGCAACTTTTTAAAGCTATTCTAAATCCAATTTTAAATTTTTGTATTTGGTTCAATCTGTTTCTGTGTATACACAGAAACAGGGTCCCTATAGGTAACAGGGGGTAGAATCAATATTTTACATAAATATTAAGAGAAATCATCATCATCATCAAAATTGTGAAAGAACTACACAGGAAAAATTACATTAAAACAGTTTTTAAGTTTTAGCTTAAGCTTAAGCTTGAATTTTTGTTGTATCGATAATGCAAAATGTAAAAAGTTTAACAAAACTTCAAAAAAGATAAATCAAATATATAAAAATTTTGCGGAGGAAAATATTTAAGGCCAAATTCAAGTTTCGCATTTAAATATATACCTTCTTACTTTAAAAATGACAATCCTATAGTTTTTACTAAATAATAGTAGAATCGGAAAATCTGATTATTTTAGAATATCGCCACCTGAGAATTAGATTGTTCTATCTCCCAAAATTCAAAGAGGAACAAATAGCAGTTTAAAGTTTAATTTATATACAAATGAAATTTTAAAAAGCTGTTTTTCCGTGTTTAGGTTTTGGGAGATTCTATATTTCAAAAAACTGACACGGAAAAACAGCTTTTTAAAATTTCATTTGTATATAAATTAAACTTTAAACTGCTATTTGTTCCTCTTTAAATTTTGGGAGATAGAACAATCTAATTCTCAGGTGGCGATATTTATAGATTTAGATTAGTTTTTATAATCACTACTTATTTAATAGTTTTCTGCATTTCTCTTTAAATTTCCGCAGGATTCAACATTCTTCATGTTTTCCGTTGATTTATTTTTTGTTCCCATATCCTTATTTTAATTATTTTTCCATTGTTGTAAACTAAGCATGATACAAACAATAAACTACGTTCTCGTTTTCACAACTTATTTTTAAATTTTAAATAATACCGCACAGAACACAACTGTCAAAACAACTGTCAAACAACTCGCAATGTTGGAGTTGTGGGGTGAGCGAATCAGGAGGGAACTCCACAATCCAGTGAGCCTAGTAAAGATTAATTGCAAAGCGTGACACGTACAAACTTTTAATTTTACCTTTAGATAACGATTTGCAAATTTAAAATTTTAATTAATATGTCAAATGTAACATTTCATTTCATAAATTGCTTTTCTACAAGCCCAGGTCTGTTCCTATAATGTATCGTTTACTTGGATACAAACAAAATTAACCTATAAAATGTCATTTACTAATAGGTGGAAATAAATCGTATTTTTTACCTTTTTTAATTAATTTAAATTAATTTATACAATATACAATATATATTTATAAGTATAGTGCTTTTAGTATTACAATGGAAAATAATTCTTAAATTAGTTTAAAAATTGGCTTTCTTAATTTAAAAATAAATTTTATTTTAAAAAATTGGTATGCATTAAGTATATCGACTGTATACCTGTTGTCGGGTGATATCAAAACGAATGTCCATACTTAAATAAGTGTATATTGTGTATATTTAAATTTATTACAAATTTGGTATATAACTAATATGTAATATTAGCTACTATCATTTGCTATCACAGAAATTTCGATGGAGTCTCCTCCAATATAATCGTTTTTGTCGTTCTTTTTTGGTATTAAAAAACATAACAATCCACCCAAAAGAACTACAATTGCAACGACGAAAATAGGTATTTCGCAATGGTCATCCATAAAATAACCGAAAAACATATTGCTTAACATAGCTCCTATTCTTCCTGCACACATAATTAAACATATAGCAAGGGCGCCAACTGACGTGGGAAACAATTCTACCACTACACTGCCTATCGTCATGTTGGCAGTAACCATACTGGCTTGAAAAATGCAGGAGACAATCAAGTTTTGCGTTGACGAAGTTAACCAGTAAATGCTTAAAGAACTAAATCCACCAAGCAACATCGATACGAGGGGTACTATTTTCATGTCAACTTTACTAGTGAGCCATCCAGAGACACCGTTGTAGATTAAAGATACTATTGCCATGGCGACGGTATTCATTATTACCGAGTTGTCGAATGATGGTGAACAGGAAACAGCACTATTTGGTTTAAGTAGAGCCAAGTCTTTGATGGTTGCTGTACGGTTTGGAAACATTTCCTGGAATTTCTGGAATCTGTTAAAAAATTCTGGTAGCCAAAGACCAAGTCCAAAAACTCTGAAATTATTTAAAAAAAATTATTATAACTATGTTATCTTATTGTTGTAGTAAATAGCATACCCAAACATATTTGAAAACATAATGGCGCAAGTCAATAGTGTAATAGGTAGTAAAGGTCCTTGAAATAGTCCTTTAATTCCAATTAAAATTTTTTTTAGCAACCTAGACGATTTTCCATCTACTCCAACTTTATTATTAGCCTCGGGTTTATTCTCGTTTATTAAATTTTTAACTGGGTATAAGTCTTCTGATTTTCCGGTATTTTTAGCATACATTTGCCTTAAAATCTCTAAGGTTACCTTGTTATTACCTTTGGACATGTGAAATTTGGGACTTTCTGGTAATCGTAAAATCCAAATTCCCACAATAAGTTCAGGAATCACCAAAATAATCAAAAAAATCCTCCATGAGTTTAGAATAAATAATCCATCCATTTGTATGTTCACTGACAAAGGAAGCACCATAAAGGCCGTCACTGGTAGCACTAACCATGCCATGGTGAAAAACAGTCCACAGTAACACACAACAGCTCCCCTTAATTTTGGCGGTTGGAATTCCGCCAAATAAGAAAATATAATACTACCGGGTGCACCGATTAAAAATCCATTTAAAAATCTGCATATCATTAACATTGCGTAGTAGGGGTTTATAGCACAGACCACGGTAATTGCAAAATTAACTAGATGAGCCCACATTATAACTTTTTTTCGACCGGACAAATCGGCCAATACGCCCCATATAAAGGAGCTTACAATGCCGCCTATTAGGAAGGAGACATTTAAATTTCCAATATCGGAGGACCCAAGTCCCAGTTCACACATTGCAGCAGGAAATACGTAGGATGAAAGTCCATTTTGAAAGCCCACTGACAATATACAAACGGCACACAGAACAACAAGTTCAAAGTGAAATTTTCCGTAGCCTAAAAATAAATTATTCGTTACTAACCTACATTAATGCGTTTAAAAAAATGCATGATAATCAATTAGTTATACCTGTTAGACTGACTGCATTATCAAAATCAGTGGTTTCAAATAAATTTTGTTTCTTAACATTACTAGTCATATTAATTACCACCTTTTCACAAATGACTCAACTCGAATAAAATTTGCAAATATGTTGGGCATTTTATCGATATGTTGTTATTATTATAAATTGATTTAAATATTTTTCTATTGTCAAGGTGTATTTATAAATATGCGGATTATTTTAAATGTTCTGAATTTTTAAGGTTAATCACTATTCCTCTTAAAGAAACCATAACAAAGTATAATTAATTTTTTTTAATAATTAATATTTAAATATTAACTTACCTGTTAATCGTATGGCATTGTCAAAAGTGGTGGTATCATTTTCAACATTATTTTCAGTCTTTTTAGAATTATTCATGTTTTACTAGGTAAATTCAGACTTTATTCATACTAGAATACTCTAATACCCTCTTGCTTTAAAAGTGGTTAAGGTAATGTCTACTACCCCTTCAGAATGCAAGTATTATGGAATTGTTTTCTTTTGAACTATCTATCTTCAGCAAAACAAATATTGGTTGACCAAGGTGAATGAAATTATTTGAAGTAAATTCGATTTTTTCTTATTCTTTTACTGGAAAACAAAAAATAAAATAAGAGACATTGTTTTTTAAATCTGGTTTATGACCTTAATTGTTATGAAACATTGACATATATCGTTTAATATGTTTAAGTTTAAAACATTTGTAGATTAGAGTTTCATAACAAATAACAAAACATTCAATATGTTGTATAGTAAATTTTGACTGTTTTTGTTATTATTTCTTAAATATTTAAACAAAACTTAATTGTTCAATAGATTTAGGGTATTAGTTAATTGACTCACTAATTAATATGAATTTCTAAAAAATATATTTGTTAATTCTTCAAAAATGATAGCTATATAATTTTTATTGTTTATCATTAAAATATTATTCATATTACTTACCCACTTGTTTTTTTAAATTTTGAAGAACATTACAACGATCTACTTTCATTACTTAATTTACTTGAACTGATGTACCTTTTAATAATGCTGTTTTCTAGTAATTTGATAATTGTTGAACCCTAGGTCATTTATTATCCAGTTAAGACTTACCAACTTTTAATTACTGAATTAATAAAAAGCTAATATATCAAATTGGTTTTGATAATATTTGTACATTAGGCTGTGTTAAAAGTTCCAGTTACAAAATAGTTTATATAAGTTAATTTAAATTGGATAATTTCTTTTGCAAAATCATTAATATTTTTTTGAAAATTTTCCACTTGTCTTAAAATAGCAACAGAATAATATAAATTGGCGATAAGAAATATTATTGTAAACAATGTCTTATATTAAGTAAGAACTTATAACACTACAGATACTTAAGTATTTAGGCAATTGCCTAAATATTGTGTAAATTAATCATATATGTATTCATATATGCCTCCAGGCTGTGCAATAAAGTGTTAAAAAAAAATTGTCAAACGAAAGCCATACACAATAAAATTGTTGTAAAAATTATGTCTTTTTATACAGAATTTAAAATAATTAATTTAAAATTTTAAAAGTGTTTAATAAAACGAATTTGGTTTGAGGGAAAAAATGCAAATGGTTTTATTTATGAAAATATTTTATAAAATATTATTTATGGGGTTACCGCGTCTGTTTAGGTACAGGGAAGCAGCTGCGCCCAGCCTTTCCAGCTGTATGTCATCAAAGTGTTAGTTTCTGTTAACAGAAACTAACACTTTGATGGCATAATATAAATTTATATTATGTCCTTTCAAAGGACCTTTGTCATATTTGATATGCTTGATATAACTGTTACGGTTAAAGACCGAAACTGGTTACTCTCAAGATTCTAACCCTTCCACTTGTAACTGGCTAAAACTTGGTTGGTTAGGTCGGGTTGGGTTGGATTAGTTTTAGTTTTATTTGCATATATTTTATTTAGTAGTAATATTAATCACATTGTTGACAAGCCGGCCAAGTGCGCCATGACGGTCACATGAATTAACTAGCCAATGAAAGCATAAGACGTATACCCAGGGCCGTCTTATGATATTCAGCGCCGTGGGCTACTAAAAATATTGCGCGCTTCTTTATAGCTGTTAGTAGGAAGGGTTATACAAGTTATGCAAAAGTATCAGTACTAGAAAAAGGTTATTCAATTTCGTATACTATTTTTTGTTTCATTTAGAACATTTTATTCTTTTATTTTTTTTCTTGAAAAGATTTTAAATAAAAATAGTACACTGAGAGAACGAAATATTTGTTAATAACGAGGCACGTTAACTATTAACATATCGTTGAGTTGGATATGGCGAAAGAAATATTAATTTGGGTCTAAGAACTGGTTAAGTTGAATTAAAGAAGCTCATAACGTATTAGCAAATGTAGATATATTAACTGTTAATATATCGAAATTTCATTTTGTAAAAAACTACGGCAACGTCACATGCTTGCGCATATTGCATTTAAAATTATGTTGACAAATCGTCACCTGATAATTATAGTGTTCTATCTACATTTTCTTTTTTTTATTCAGGTTAGTCTTGTTTTAAGTCTTAAATATGATATTGATCTATCTATATATAATTTGGGGTAGAAATTGTAAAGTTTAAGGCTTAAACTGTACAATTTCTACCCCAATTATATAGAGATAGAACAATATGCATCTTTAATACTTAAAACAAGACTAACCTGAATAAAAAAAAGAAAATACAGATAGAACACTATAATTCTCAGGTGACGAAATGTTAAAACGTTTTATTCGAATTTAGGTATATTAACTGTTAATATATCACAGTTCTAAGACAACTTTACCCTTTATTTGTCTGAAACACCATTACTGGACGATATTATAATAATTAGTATATAATTTGTTCACGATTAAGAAATTTTTTAATAGTTAACATATATTTTAAAAAAATCGCAACTGTTTTGATTTCTTAATAATAAATATTTCGTTTTCTCAGTGTAGGTATATAATAATAACAAAAAATATAACATCAATAAAAATTGCTGCCCTCAAAAGGTTACGCTCTAGGGCTATAGCCCATTTAGCCCTGTGGTTAGGGTGGCCCTGCGTATACCAAATTTTGTATACGTCGGACGGATAAATAAAGGGTGATTCATTTAGACCTTTTTTTTTAATTCTAAATAAAACGCATAAAATGGAATTGGATGGCGGAATCTTTATTATGACCTGAAAGAACGATCCTTGACATTTTTTTTTAATAATTTCATTTAAATGCTGGCCGCGTACAGTGTGGTCCATTCGGAAGGGTCCAATTTTCGATCACTCTTTCTAGCATTGCGACCGGTATCTGCCCAATTAACCGAGTAATGATTTCTCAATAAAGCTATTGTTTCGCGCGCTGTGTGTGCCGTAACTCCGTCTTGTTAAATCAAAAGTCTTCGTCGATAATCCAGCTACGATTAAGGCCTAAGAAGCCAACATAACTCGCGTAATTGGGCAGATACCGGTCGCAATGCTAGAAAGAGTGATCGAAAATTGGACCTTCCGAATGGACGACGTATGTTAGTACGGTAGTCGCGGCCAGCATTTAAATTAAATTATTTTCAAAAAATAAATGTCAAAGATTGTTCTTTCAGGTCATAATAAAGATTCCGCCATCCAATTCCATTTTATGCATTTTATTTAGAATTTAAAAAAAAGGTCTAAATGAATCACCCGTTAGTAGGGTGATTCATTTCCGCAGTTTTTTTTTTCGGTGCTCAAGCAAAATATTAATCTGAATATAGAAAAAACAATTCCCACCAAGTTTGAGCTCTTAATATCAATTTTAAGTACTTACTATTTAAATTTAAAGTTTTACCGTTTAAAATGCATGTAAAAATATATATTTTTTCAAATTTCTAATGCTTACCCACCTTTTATAATATTGGAAATCGGTTTGTTGGACCTTGTGGGGAATTTCAAGCTTTTCAAAATTCCTTTGAAGTTTTTTTGGGTAACTCGCATTGGCTCATCCGTAGGAGTCGTCAAAGTATGGAAAAATATCGTTTTTTAAATTTTTTAAAACAAACCGCCAAAAGTAGGGAGAAAAAAGGTCTGACTTATAAAAAAAAGTTATCCAACCAATATTTAATGAATTTACAGCCATTTTTATAACTAAAAATGTAAGAAATTGATAATTAACAACTCATTATGTTAATTAGATTGATTTTTTTTATTTATTATCATTATATTTCCCTACACTAAGAACTTTTTAAAATTATTATGATTTCTCACTCATAATGAATATGAAAACAACACACAAATTCATAAAAAACAACAAGAATAAAATTGTAACGTGGATTTTGCAATTTTTCAACATTTCTGTCATATAGCAAAAAAATATAAATGAAGATTATTTCATTTTTTGAGGCGAAATTTGGAATATGTTAAATAATAACGTAACCTTCTGTGTATGGGGCAAAGTTTACCAAGTGTACCAGGTGAAAAAATTTTTATCACCGATTTTGTTTAAACTTTACTTATTTGTTGTTCTTATAACGAAGAATCATAGCATACATTTTTTTGCTCTAGGATTGTTCATTCAAGAGTTATGGATTATTGAAATTGATCGATTTTTTACTTTTTGGTGAAATCGCTTTTTATTTAAAAATTCATAACTTCTGTTCATCTCTTTATTAAATATTTCAATTTAACCACCTTAAATGATTTTTTCCGTCCTTTTCAATATGCTATACCTTTTTTGCAAAAAAAAAATTGCAATTTTTTTTTGAAATTTTGCAAAATTTTGCATTTTTTGAAACAATGTGTATTTTTTATTTTTTTTTAAATAGCATAAAATCGAAGTTTATTATGTTACCTTTGAATAAAAAAAAATTTAGAGTGGGCCCGACATTTAGAAGGGAAGTTTTTCATATTTGAATGAGTGCGGGTCTAGCCATCGAATAGCTACTACACTGCCGTATGCGTTTTTACCTAGTAGATGCGAGTAAACAAATACAAAATGATAATTTAAAATGTAAAATTATGTTTGAGTAGTCAATGATGTATTTTAAATATTTACACTGCCGCACGATATAGTTTTTTAACTGTATTTTTTTGCACAAATTGTTTAAGCATGAGTCTACATAGATTTCGCAAGGAGTATCGATGATATTAAATAAAAAATTTATTGTTATAACCGTAACGGCTTGCCTATAAGCTGAATGACGCCTTTACGGTTATAACAATTCATTTTTTATTTAATATCATCGACCCTCCTTGCGAAATCTATGTAGACTAGGGGTGTCGATCCCGGGAACTTTTTAAAATTATTATGATTTCTCACTCATAATGAATATGAAAACAACACACAAATTCATAAAAAACAACAAGAATAAAATTGTAACGTGGATTTTGCAATTTTTCAACATTTCTGTCATATAGCAAAAAAATATAAATGAAGATTATTTCATTTTTTGAGGCGAAATTTGGAATATGTTAAATAATAACGTAACCTTCTGTGTATGGGGCAAAGTTTACCAAGTGTACCAGGTGAAAAAATTTTTATCACCGATTTTGTTTAAACTTTACTTATTTGTTGTTCTTATAACGAAGAATCATAGCATACATTTTTTTGCTCTAGGATTGTTCATTCAAGAGTTATGGATTATTGAAATTGATCGATTTTTTACTTTTTGGTGAAATCGCTTTTTATTTAAAAATTCATAACTTCTGTTCATCTCTTTATTAAATATTTCAATTTAACCACCTTAAATAATTTTTTCCGTCCTTTTCAATATGCTATACCTTTTTTGCAAAAAAAAAAATGCATTTTTTTTTTGAAATTTTGCAAAATTTTGCATTTTTTGAAACAATGTGTATTTTTTATTTTTTTTTAAATAGCATAAAATCGAAGTTTATTATGTTACCTTTGAATAAAAAAAAATTTAGAGTGGGCCCGACATTTAGAAGGGAAGTTTTTCATATTTGAATGAGTGCGGGTCTAGCCATCGAATAGCTACTACACTGCCGTATGCGTTTTTACCTAGTAGATGCGAGTAAACAAATACAAAATGATAATTTAAAATGTAAAATTATGTTTGAGTAGTCAATGATGTATTTTAAATATTTACACTG